ATACATGCTTATCATCTTATGCACTTTTATTAAGATATTCTCATTCATCTACATAATCTTTTGATTTTGGAGTGAGAAAGAAACTTATAGAATGTGAAAGTGGGTCATAGATTAGGGGTTAGAATCCTTTCAAAACAGAGTATTTGTTTGCCTTGAGTTGGACAGAGACTGAAGAGGAAGCACCAGGTCTCACAGTGGAAGAGGAGGGAAAGTAGCAGGCAGTGATGCTCACAAAAGGTTTGTGTGTATGTAGGGGAAGGATGAAATAATAATGGGGGGGTCTTATACCACTGATATCAAGCCTTTGCTTCTTGGTGCATGTTTCATAGATTTCACATCTGTGCTGCTATATATCTTTTAAGTCTAAACAAAGAACTCCTCTAGAGGCTTGGCTAAGCCAAGACAATGAATCTTGGAAGAAGGATCCTTATAGGGTGGCTCACAGGGAGATTTTTCTGGTGAACCGGGAGTCATATTGCATTAATTGTCACTTACTTTGCTTAAGTCAGGAGAACTGAGAGCAAGGAGCTGGTTTGGCTACTCCAGGGGCAGTACCTTGGAACACCAAGACAGATGGAATTCAAGAAGGAGGTGGCAGTATTCAGTAGCATCAGATACATACAGGTAAACACAGTTATGATAAGGTTGATGAAGGTATTGACATGACTGGAGAGAGAGACTGGAATTTCTGGGGCTCCAAAATCATAACAAAAAGTGACGAAAAAATTCATGAGGTTCCCAGTGTTGGGAGGCCAGAATTTGTATCCCAGCAACCTGTATGACTTGTGTTGCATTCTAGGTCAACCTCAAGAAGGCAAAGAGTAGTGCTGGGGATGTTAAAGAGCTTCATGGGAAAAGCAATGTGATACCTTAAACATCACATTTACTTGTTTGATCCAGGCTCACACAAAATAAATTCTGTACAATGGGATTGGGTTGGGGGCTGCATTTCCTTAGGACCTAATCTCTTTTTTATTAATGATAAATAATTTGTAAAATTAAGATTGGCATCACACTTTGTTAGACCCAGAGTTGCTTGATGTTTATATACTAGAGGGAGGTTGCATTTCTTTCAAGATCGTTGAAGGCCTACTGATAAGGACCAAGGATAGTAAAAAATAGACTGAAAAATATATTTTTAAGAAAAAAAGGGAGAAATCTAAATGCAGATATCTTGGCATTCAAGCTATTATTGTACCTAGCCTAGTATCAAATGTTTGCTGGTAAATGGGGAGTGAGCATTCCAACGTATTCCTGCTCATTTGTAGCTTACTCTGTTACGTTTTAATATTAATATGTAGCAACTTTTTTTTTAAAGATTTTATTTATTTATTTAATTGACACACACAGAGAGAGAGAGTGAGAGAGGGAACACAAGCAAGGGGAGTGGGAGAGGGAGAAGCAGGCTTCCCACCAAGCAGAGAGCCTGACGCAGGGCTCAATTCCAGGACCCTGGGACCATGACCTGAGCCGAAGGCAGTCGCTTAACCAACTGAGCCACCCAGGAGCCCCAATATGTAGCAACTTTAATGCGCATCTTTTACTTGATTCATCTGGTTCATTTACAGGCCTCTTCCACATAAGTAATGTCCCACACTAATGTAGGTGCAAGTGATTGTCTGTAATATATGAAAAAGGCTGTTCTAAGTGTTATTGGCACTCAAAGGCTATCACTAATAGATAGCCTTCCAGACAAGCCTCCAAAGTCTATTTAACCAATCTTGTAATGACTCTGGGAGACCTGGTGGGACTGGAGATCACTTGGACATTAAGCCTGAGCTCCCCATGAACCCTAGAGCCTCTGGGCTATGTGTTTCCCTGAGAACCTGGCAACCGAAGCTGGGGGCTCTTGTCGTGGAAGAAGGAGGAAAGGACAGACAGACTCACTCCCAGAGGTAGGGGAGGGGATGGAAAGAGATAGACAGACCAGCACCATCACTCCATGGTGAGCCTTGAAGGCTGAAGACTGCCTGAAAATCACCAGTTGTCAACTTATTGCTGGTGCAGACCCAATAAAGCAGATGCTTGATTTGCTCAAAAATAGAAAGATGGATGGGTGAGTGATATTCTAGAGTAAGGAAAGCAATGAAGCAGTGTTTCTTCTTCTTCTCTTTTTCCCCTTGTTTTATAATATACCTGTCTCAATTTGACATTATTTTTAAACAGACTATCTACTCCTGTGCTGGAAAAGGAGCGTGTTCTGATATGCAAATTTGGGCTGTATTAAGTGAATAGAAAGGAAGGCTGTGATCAAAAGATAACATTTTCTCCCTACACATAGTTTCCATTTTCATCAATTTCCCAAGCTCCTCAAATTTTTAAATTCTTGTTTTTGTTCTTATTTGAAGAAAGGTAACTATTTGCCTGGATGGACTTGTTACCTGTAGAAAAGGACGCATGGCAAGGCATTGGGAATTTGCTGCTTCTCTTTGCTGAAGAAAGAATATTGTATAACTTCATAGAGCTTAAGCTGAGAAAATATCATTATGTATATACTTTTAGGTAAATACCAAAAGGAATGTTTAAGTTTTCTTCCTTTACCCTTCAGAGGGCATTCTTATTAGGGATCTGTATGATTAAATAACAAAGGAACAGGCAAGGGTACAGGGGGCTTGGGAAAAGTTATTTTTTGTTGGAAAAACTAGATTGGGTTAACTCCACCCTACACTTAAACCAGGGCAGCACACAGCTACAGAACTTATTGTAAACTCTGTTGTCCTCATGCCTCTGATGTACGTAACACCCCTTTCTCGTGGCCGACATACATTTTAACTTGTCAAACCTTGTTAGTTACAAGAATATTTTTATTTTATTTTAGTAAGAAACCTCCACTTGAGAAAATGTGACACCAGCTAAGAAGTGTTTCTTCCTTCCTCTTATTGCTCTAAGTCCTCCAGAAGTGAAGTTCAAAAATTAATGGCAGCTGCCTGTTGAGGAGACACTCTGTCAAATTAAACAATTGAACATTTTTGTAGTATGACATGAAATTCCCATTTTTAATAGTATTGTCACAAAGTTGCATCACAGGTACATGGTTCGGTTGTGAGTTGCCAGAGTTACCACTGGTTAGAGACCTTACCTAGAGGACCAGACCTAGTAAGGGAATGAGAGACATTTGTGGTTTTGATGGAATGCCTGTGTGGGGTTCCATTTATGCAGAACTCAAGAGTGGCTTTCTTGAAGATCCGTGTCGATGCTGATGTTGGGTCATCTCAACTTTGATAGAATCTCTTAATGTTATCAGTGGGTGTTCTTTTGGCCAGGGATCTATGTCAAGTAATGTTTTGTAGTTCTCAGGAGATTTGTTAAGCTACAAAAGCCCTTCTGTGAAGAAATTTTCCTTGGAATCACAATTCTGTTTAAATTCTTTGGCAATAATTTTCCATTATACACTCTTTCATAAATGCAGACCCCATCTACTCCAATCTACTTCCTTATTGACTTAATATAAAATAATATCCAAATTAAATATTATAAGAATTATCTTTAAGTTCTTGTTATATCACATTATTGCAATCATTAAATTTATAATATTATTTCAGATGTTATAAATAATTCATAACAATGAAAATAATCATTAATCACTATTTTTTTACAGCGTCCCAAATTTCAAATAATATTGCTATTAAGTCACCCTAAGGTTCACCTTCATACTGATGATTATGATAATACAATCATCAACCTGTATTTAATTTTGTATCACATAGATCTCACAACCTAGAGGCTAAAACTAACCTCTCTCTGATTCATTGTTCTAAGGAAGTCAAAATCTTATATGAAACCAATTTTTTGCTTCCTTTGTGCCCAGAGAAAAATCACTGAATAGTTAAGGTTGGGTGCTATCTTAACTCACGATCAAAATTGGAGGAGTGCTTATTAACAACTTCTGGTTTCTTTGAAGAAAGATATTTCCCTTAATGTCCTTTACTCTGTCCTACTCAAGGCAAGAGAATTTACTTTTCTGATTAGAGAGTTTGAGGGGAAAATCTGAGTGTGCCCCCTGGCTCAGTCCTTCCTTTTCCCTTTCTTACTGCAGAGACTACACGTTCTGCTCTGATCCTCCACCCTGTCTTAATTTCAGGGACAGGCTCAACCTCTGTAGGGAGATGGGGAACGGAGGTGTCCTTAAGTGACCCTTCCCTGATCTGATATTTGGTGAATGGGCTGAGGATCATGAGCAATAAATAAGGAGTGGAATTTGGGAAGAAAACCAACACTCAGAGATTGAGACTTTGGAATGGGTCAGGCCATGGTTTTTTATTCTGTTGAGTTTGGCAGCTGTGGTCTATATTGGGTTATGCTGCCCATTTTTACAATTGTGGGCAGAGTTGGGGATTGGTGAAATGGGCTTTTTTTTTTTAAATTGGTGAGTTGGGCTTTTAACTCATGTGGTCCAACAAATGAGTTTAGGTTTTAAAGTATAGCCTATTTCAGTTTGCTTAGTATTACAAGAAAGCTGGGGTAGAATTAGACCTTTCAGGTGTTGGTTAGACAGACAATATTGGCTCTATTGACTGTTTTCCAGCCAGATCAGTAGGCAGGAATTTTAATGTCAAAGGATCTAAGTTCTGTATATCTTACAGAGCACTCATGGTGTTTGAGGTTTCAGTTGTACCTGCCGGGTCTAAGTAGGCAGCTCTGGACTGGTTGCCTAAATTCCATTTTACATTGTAGACCAAGAGAATACAGGGGAGGCGCTTGGCTAAGTTTGGGTTAATGTGGTATATCATAAGTGTGGGTTATTCCCTATCATATATTACTTCAAATTGGTTCTGGATTTCTTTTTTCTTCTTTCTTTCTTTCTTTCTTTCTTTTCTTTAAGATTTTATTTATTTGTCAGAGAGAGAGATCACAAGCAGGGGGAGCTGCAGGCAGAAGGAGAAGCAGGCTCCCCGCTGAGCAGGGAACCTGATGTGGGACTTGATCCCGGGACTCTGAGCCAAAGGCAGACACACAACAGACTGAGCCACCCCCGTGTCCCTTTCTTTTCTTTTTTTGTTTTTAATATGGAATGCTTCACAAATCTGCATGTCATCCTTGCACAGGGGCCATGCTAATCTTCTCTGTATCATTCCAATTTTTTAGTATATGTAAGCTGAAGCAAGCACTGGCTCTGGATTTCTTAATGACAGAATCTCTCTTTGACCTTAGTTTTCAGAGAGCCAAACTCAGGGTCCAACTGAAGAAGTGCGGTAGATTTTACTAATGAAAAAATAAAAGGGTCTGAAGCCCTTATTATGACAAAAACATGCACAATTTTTCAATGAATTAATAAAGTTATTGAAGACCCAGAACCTAGGAAGATAGTGAAAAAGATGTTCTCCAGGAATTTCCTGTTTCTAAGGATTAGATTTGCCTAGAAAGTCAATAAGGAGCTGGAGTAATCTGAAAATAGTTCTTCAAATAGAGAGGTCCTATTCAGTCCAGCTAATAAAAATAATAGAAGAAATAAAATGAAATAAAAACTTAAAAGCCTGATGAACAAAAAGAGAAAGAGAACCTTAAGTGAAACACAGATATTAGAAGATAAGCTGAACAGATATGAAGGGAGAAAATGAGACCTTAAGAGCTGACCTATGTAAAGGGGAAGATAAGATGTACCCAAGCTTACCTACTGTTAAAGGGACTCTTTGAAGAAGGGGACCTGTTTTGCATAGTAACCAGATTGGAAAAACTAACATAAACCCCAAACAATATAACAGAGAAAGAAGAGCAACATCTCAAGCCCTGCTAGAATGATTGCCTGAGGGACCCAGTCCTCAGGACACGGCAAGAAGGTGTTTTGGGGTTTTTTTTGTTTCTATTTAAATTCCAGTTAGTTAACATACAGTGTAAAGTTAGTTTCAGGTGTATGATACAGTGATTCAACACTTGCATACAACACTCAGTGCTCATCACAACAGATGCACTCCTTAATTCCCATGACCTAGTTCACCCATCCTTCCAACCCAACTCCCCTCTGGTTACCATCAGCTTGTTCTCTAAGTTCCAGCTGTAGAGTCTAAACCAGGAATGGGTGGGAGACCACCTTTACTCTTTCTCACTGATTGTCCTCTCGTCTCCCAAGGTAGCATTTGCCTGCATCCCAAATTCAGTTCACTATCCCATTAAGAAGAGAGGATAAGATCTATATATATATAAACTCTTTTTTAAAAAAAAGATTTTATTTATTTATTAGAGAGAGAGAGAGAAAGAGCACACATGAGTCGGGGGGAGAGGCGGTGGGAGAAGCAAACTCTCCCCTGAGCAGGGAGCTCTATGTGGGACTCGATCCCAGGACCCTGAGATCATGACCTGAGCCAAAGGTGGACGCTTAACTGACTGAGCTACCCAGGCGACCCTATAAAAACCCTTTAAACAGCCACCCATGCACCCCTATAAAAACTCTTTAAACAAAGACTCTTCAACTACTAGGCATTGCCAAGGAGACGTCTCAAGAGGATCTCAAAGATGGGAAATATTAAGTTCCCAAAGTGATGTGGTAGCATTCATAGAACACAATGGGTAAAAGCAGGAGAAATAATGATACAATTTATTTAACTAGTTGTGTAGTATTTTGATGTTTAAAAATACTTTTATACACCTCATTTCCTTGGAGTCTCATAATGCCCTATGATACAGGATTGATTACTTCCAGAATTATCAATGATGGAACTGAAGCTCAGCAGGTTACTTGCTGAGGGGCATCCAGCTAGTAACTGAGTTACGATCCAGATCCCTGAGTTATGCCGTTTACTTCATTCCTCTGAACCACACTATTCTTCCCAGCCCTAAGATGTGTTGCTGAGCCTGAGGATGAGCAATGATAATGTAGGACCTGGACAATGTAGTAAGATAAAAATATTTTGCACTAATACTATGAAAGAGAGCAAGTGATCAAATTTGATACTTTGGCATTATAAGAAATCCTTGAAGAGTGATTCTATTTGGTTTGAGGAACTAACAGTGTTTAACACCAAGATTTTAAACATATTTGAGCATATTCAGAAAATTCTTGCACATGATAAAAACACTCCTCCTCCAGCCAGCCTGCACAGTTATTATTATGAATAATTTATATTTCTCTAGAGGATTTTGCTATTTATTGCTCTTAATTATTTGCTTTTCAAGTGCCACTATAGATTCCCAGGGAAAACCCTTGAGAGAAGGAAGTTGTCACGCTGGGGGAAGCATCAGCCTGATGACTCGCTGGCACTGAAGCCTTGGGTCTGCCGGTGACAGCAATCACCCTTCATTATCCTGGCAGAGCTGGTGGAGCAAAGTTCTTCTAAATGGGCACTTGACATGGGCATTAACTTTATTTTTCTCGAAGAAAAATTTCTTTGGGGGAGAGTGTACAAAAATAGAAAGGGAACATTGAAAAGAGAGGAGAATCACAAGCTGTTTTTATTCTTTGTACTAAACCAAATAGTATTTTATTAAATAGCCTAAGAACAATGTGGGCACTGAAAAGAGTAAGTTAGGGGATGCTGATATCTGAGTTCTGTTACAAAGGTGCCATTAGCCCACTAGGATTCTTATGCCATTGATTCTTAATTTGTAAAGGGGTGTGGGAGGTGGTAATGAGGAAGAATTGGACCAAATATAGGAAGTCTTAGTTCAATACCAGGGGGATGAGACTGAACAAAAGACAGTCTAACTACAGAAGAAGAAATGCCTTGAAGCAACTGACTCAGGCAATCTAGGTTAAATCCACAATCTCTTTAGTTGTCCTTTTAGCATCCAGGAAAAAGTGGTCAAGACTTAAAGTTCTCTAGGATCATAGGAACTGAATGATTGTGAGCAATTCAGATCTGCTGCTGTAGCAGAGGGTGGGGAGGGGGTTGCGGGAGGATGGTTCTGAGATGCAGCAAAGGGCAGCCATTTGGGTCATGGATGATACACAGATGGCATGCATTAATGCCAGTCGTCTGTGGCTTCCAGACTCTTTGTCATTGCCAGTTCCTTACCAATTGTTAAATATTTTTAATACTTAGCCTTGTTTGGGGGTGACTTTAGAGTTCAAGATAGCTACTGACCAGCTGTGTGAACTTACTAGCCTCTTAGACCCTGAGCTTTTAATGAGAAGGTTGTGCTACAGGACGTCTACATTTTTTACTAATGCATGCATTCTCTGGTGTTCTGAATTATACCTCAGACTCTTATCTCCTGGGGTCCATGTCAAAAAGTTAGTTCCCAAACACAGTACACAATGTGAGTGTGCGTGTGTGTGTGTGTATGTGTGTGTGTATACAAAGCCAGCAACATGATTCTTTGCACAAATCCATGCAGGTCGACCTAGTACTCCCAATCCTTAATCCTTAATATCAACAGATCATGCTAATATGTTAAAGCCCAGCATGGTACTATGGTCAGTAAAGGAATAAGAAGCTGGCAGCAACAAAGCTCTGAAATTAACTGGAATCATTAATGAGATAAGGGTGAATTAGACATTATTTCTATTCACAAAACCAAACCCCTTTCTGTTGATTTGGGAAGGACTAAAGACTCAGCAAGTGCATGTTTAGATACCTATGTTAACAGTAGAGTAGTATGTGTATGTGTGTATATATACACACTTTGACAAATGAATTAAATCTTATTTTTCCTTTACTTTATAAGTTGCAGTACGGCATCCCTTCTGAAAGCTAAAAATTGGTGAGTGTGTGTATGTATGTGTGCATGTGTGGGTGTGCTTACATGCACACATTTAGAATAAGTAGAACTTGGCCTGGAAAAGCCAGGTCACTGGTCATGCAGGTTCATGACTCATGGAAGGACACTGCCCTCCAGAGGCTGGCCTCACTCTCCTCCCTCCAAGTCCTACTTGGTGTGCACAGGCACTGATACTGGCATATTAGTTAAGTCTCTACACAAAGCAGGTGTAACATCACTGTCATATTCAGGGTAGTGCTCCCAATCTGTTCTTCTGGTGTGCAAACCGAACTGCTATTTATACCCCCACTAACAAGCATGTAACACTTGGGCTAGAAATAAAATTATTATTGGCCTTGTTTAAACTCTGGAGTCAGAGCTTGGAGTGGGGGAGTGGTGAGCCCCAAAGTGAATAAAAAATAAGCAAGGCCCATGCTTATCTCAGGATACTTGGGCACAGATGAACTGTCCCTGATAATATGGAGCTTTCCCTCTGAGGAGATGCTGTGATGGTTAATTTTAGGTGTCAGTTTGACTAGGTCACATGGTGTGAGGATGTTTGGGTAAACATTATTTCTGGATGTGTTTGTGAAGGTTTTTCTTGATAAGATTAGCACTCGAATTGGTAGACTGAGCAAAGCAGATTGCCATCCCACACTGAATCATCCAATCCATGGAGGACCTATATAGAACATAAAGGTAAAGGAAGCCAGGATTCACTCTCTCTGACTGAGCTAAGACATTGGTCTTCTCCTGCTTTCTTAATGGGGCTTTCCCATAAGTGCTCTGGTCCTCATGGCTTTGGACTATACCCCTGGGTTTTCTGGGTCTTCAGCTTTCAGACAGCAGACTTCTCAGCCTCTGTAATTGCTTGAGCCAATTCCTTATAATAAATCTCTTTATACTAGAAATCTTCTTCTAATAAAATCTTTTTCTATATATTGGTTCTGTCTCTTTGGATGACTAGTACAGATGCCTTTATGATTGCATTTCCATAGTCACCAGCCACGTGAAACAGAAGCCATTTGGTCAGTGGGAAGCATGCCCAATAACATCCATGGGAGCCAAACTGACACAGCCCCAAACATCATGGGTCCACTTCTCTACTGCTGCCATTTGTGATTGGCTCACTTCCAGATTGACTGTTCCGAACCAGGAGGCAGCACTTTCTTTGCTTTTTGGCATTAGAAACAGCAGTTTAAGATTATTGGGAGGATTGGTCTGTAATATTACATATAATTTTTGGCAGATCCTGACCTAGTCGACTTTGTATATTTTAGGGACAACAAACACTTTTTAATCCAGAGACAACAGGTTGCCTGGGTGGCTCAGTAGGTTAGGCTTCCAACTCTTGGTTTTGGCTCAGTTCATGATCTCAGGGCTGTGAGATTGGGTCCCGAGTGGGCTCCACTCTCAGCATGGAGTCTCCTTGAGATTCTTTCCCCCTCCACTTCCCTCCCTCACTGCTCCTC